GTTTTGGTACCAGAGTTAGTACATGAGACTCGCGAATGACCGCTGCAAGCGCGAGCGAAATCAGAAGAGAGAGCCGAAGCACGTGACCACGCTTGTATTCTGTGAAATTGCACAAGTGCGCGTTTTTTCGTAGTTTTTCGTCTTCAAACAAAAAACGATTATGCAATTGATGAAATACGTAGTGTTATAATGGAAGTAAAATAAAGGTACAAATCGCCACACCTTCATTGGTCCTGTCCAGCGAGCTGTCACAAAAATTGTTTCCGGTCCTAAATTCGTGGGCTATGAAGCACTTCTCGTGGTGCTTGGCGTCCTTCCCCTGAAGTATCGTCGCCTCCGGGGATACCCGATTCTTACTTATTCCCCGTTTCAAGGTTTGACAACAGCTTTTTGGCCGTTGAATCAGCTAACACATGGTGGGGACATAGTACGGTGATTTTCAAGCTCAGAGCGCACACTTTCATCAGGCGAAAATATTTTCACATTTCGGGTAGCTGCTGTGTAGAATAATATTCCTCCGATAGTTGTCCCACAGTTGTCTAGAACGCTGTTCAGAGCTCCATTCGACACCTTTTTGCGAGTACTCGCACCGGCAAGCTTAGTGCCTCACGCTGAGCATTTCAAGAGCAGTGCTACACATTTTTTCGCTTGTGCCTTTCAGGTGAACGGCGACCTCCGAACGACAAGAACAAGCCCGAACCGGGAAACTTTGGCGAAACACTCGATCCTGTCCATCAATCAGTGAATCCACGAAACTTACTCAGGTAGTTTGATGGCGGTATCGGATGTCACGCGACTTACGCTCGACCAATCAGGAGTCGAGGTCTGCTGTGTCCTCGTCGATTGCGATGTTGTGAGCGCGACGAAATCTATTGGGATTTTCAGTGGCGTTGATACTAAACAAGGAACGGAACCGGCTGATTGTTTGACCTGCTGTTTGCCATGCGCCGAAACCTACTACTACCTACCGACGCTGAATACATGCAAACGAACCGCCCAACTAGCGATCGGTAGTCCACTACCGTCCATGGACAGTGAAATGAAAAACCAACCGAACTTTTTCCTCCGCAATCCACCAACTCCAAGAAGCAGACAATCCCGGTAGAAAACCAAACATTCTGAACCGAAATGTGGATAAATCCTCGTTCGCTTAACTGCAGAATTCTGTGACATTCTTGGAATCTCCCCAGGCTAAACAGACGGAACATTCACTCCATCAACGTAGCGTGGCCATAGTGTATAATGCACCAGGAGATATTGATTCCATAAAGGCAGCTGTTCACGACAACTTATGTGGACGAAAAACAGAAAGCCCATGAGCCGAAGCTCAATAAGCAAGGCTGTACATCAATACCTACAAACAAATCAAACTAGCAGGCATCGTATACTACGATAGTAAGACCAAACCGAAGTGGTCACTATTCTTGCAGCTCACTTCGATTTCGTTCTACATCTGGCAGTAGTTTTCCTACATCACCCTGATAACACCCAGTACCGAGTGTGGACTCTTTTGTCGTGGAGACAAGTCCTTTACGTTGCAGGTTTGAAGCTTTGAAAGAAACTCCGGAAAATCTGCCGGCCGAATATAAGAATCACGAGGAGTTAGATTCCCTGACCCCTAAAGGTTTTCAGGACAAGGCGCCACCGATTACGACGCAAAAACAAACCTTGGTCCGCCTGGATCGCTCCGTTCGGGCCTCAAGGAGACTGATCTATACGGAAAAGTAGTACAATATACATCCCATGTGTTATCACTAGTTATAGAATCCAAACGACCCGGCGAGTATCTCAGAGATCTCGGTGATACTACTCGAATGGAGTCAGTTTCTTGGTTTGAGAAGGCTGACAGGATTACCGGGCGTTCGAACACGTTTACTACCGCAGCACTTTGGATTCATGCGGTATGTACTTCTGTAACGGACTTCAAGAAACACCTAGTACACAGAGGAATCTGTGTTTTCTTTGTTGTCGTCTCTGTAGCTCACTGACGAAGACCATCATTCAAACAGGGATAACTTTCTGAAATAAAGGTTGCACAAGGGGATTCGGTCATGGGCCGTTCCAATAAATGTCTAAAGCAGCTCAATGTAGAGTTCTAATTGCTATTTCGCCCCGTAACGGTAACCAGTCTGTGTTGACAAACCAAGAGACATTGTAAAGTTGTTTTTCCCCGTTGGGAGCAATCCAAAGTGATCATCTGAATCTGGAGAAGTTCGAGTCTGTGACCTTTAGGCACGAGCGGGCGGTTATCAGCGTGACTAGCTCCCACTTAGGATATTGTGGCGATCGCCCTTCTATCATGCAAACCATGTCACATGGTCACTTACCGGCTGCCTACACGAGTGACTTCTCAGATCCAAATTTTACGCAACTTGTGAATCGACATTCGTTCTGAGCTACTTACAGTGGGTCATAATACCGTTCGCTTGAACGGCATCATCTTTAGTTAAAAGGTGGCAGGTTGCTGGTTCGAATCCACAAGGGATTTTTGAATTGCACACTGCGGATACTTTTCAACGAGGAACAAAATGTACAATGCTCGGATTTCTGTTGTAACCTGATTTCACTTGTTGGACGGAAATATATCAAAAATCATACTACCCATAGAAGTAAATGACTTCAAAACTGGAACAAAACTACACCATTTTGATGGCCTCTGTCCGCTTGCCACCAACAGACCATCGGCCAGCGTTTGAGGGTGTTTCAAATCGAGGGGCACCGGAGAAACTGTTCCTCGAGGAGGTACTACAGATGAATCTACTGAACGTTAGAGCACGTCCGGCGGGCGAACTACACTTCACGGTTATTTGTGTCGATACAAGCCCGTGACACAACTGCAGTACACCAGTGGAGCATCAGTGTCAAAACCGATTTTGCTGTTTTTGATGATGATGATTTTAGACTCAGGTCATTACGATGACGGTTGATATTTTCGGGCAAAAAGTCACGTTACATAGTACAGCATCACAAATTGGCCCCGGAACGGACGGCCAGTATCACTACGAAGCGCTGGCAAGATTACTGAGCTCGAAATTTGTTGCACCACAAACCTTCTGGCGGGTAATCGATCGAGCACAGCCATACTTCCATTCGAAGTCGCCTTGCTTCGCAGCCATGGAACGCACAAGCACCACTGGCATCGGATAAAATAAACTGATAAATAAAATAGCCGTTTAACCATAACACCCTTTCGATGCCCAGCTGACATGGTATCCGATGGAGGCACGAAGACTGAGACATTACCAAGTCATCCACTTCTACACAATATCAGCCGAGATGCAATGGTTGGGTTAGTAAGCTGGGTCAGTAAGTTCTTAGAGGTTTCTCTGGCTGGACATCGATTAGTCTTGCAGTCTTCAGCCAAGCGCGGGGAATGGGCCGCCATCATTAAAGTTGGACCCCACCAACAACACGCGCTTTTCTTAATCTCCTTCACACCAGTACGCCAAGTCACGGGTTGTTCAACTTGCGGTTTTCTATCTGCTACACAAGCAAATGCCCGTTTTAGAGTTACCTCGTTGCGAGTTCGTTGACGCCATCCGATGCCACCAACGCTTCTGAGACAGTGGTTGTCAAAAGCCTGCAGACACCTCACATCATCATTCCACCGAGGCCTGGCATACACGTTGTCAAAACCTGCAGACACCTCAAAACAACATTCCACCGAGGCCTGGCATACACGAATTCGAGACTCAGTGCCATGCCTTTCTGACTTCAATACACCAAGAAAAGCGTTTAGAGGGGTCCTCATGCACACGCGCTTACAGGCACGTAAATAGAGTGCGTATATTCTTCGCGAACTTGATTCTTCCACACGCGTTTGGAGAAGAACGAATTGGCTGACATAATCGAACGCACTTTTGAAGTCAAGAAACATAGTGTCTGTCTGCTGTTCTCGGGTATCGTCTTCATGCGTCGCCGTTAGACAACGCAAAATTAATGACGAAGGACCTGGATCTCGTGAAGCGAATTCCTCTGTGTCTAGCACATTCACTGCAGGCACCATTGAAAATAGGTGCCACCGTCGACTCATCCCATCTGGTTAGAACGGCCTCTTTACCATATATGGCAGACGAACACCGACTAACGATTTAACCCCTATCAATAAACTTGGTGACCCTTGAGGGAGGAAGCCGTCGGCAGTCCCGATTCACTGCTGAGGGTCCCGTTGCCTGTCGGGAACCCGAGTGAGCAATCGCAGATGGACAACTGGATTGCTGTTAAAAGTGTCTAGCCAACGATTTAGGTGTTCTTTTTTAGGAATGTGCCAACAGTTTTAGTCAGTCAGTCACCAGAGATCCTTTCGGACCTTTTGCGCGTATCACCTGGAATAGCTTCCACGCTTTCACACATTTTATCGCTTCCTCCATCTCTTCCGCATTTCCGATCCACTAAGCTTCTTGGTCCTCGCAGATGCTTCTTTTCGACTTACGTTCAATAATTCACTGAGTTATATTATACTCTTCACCAGGAGCGTTATGCATCTGAGCCTCGAGCAATTCAAGTGTTGCCTGAGGTCCGACTGCGCCGTTCCGCAAGCGGAGCACCCAGTATCTTGCGGGGTTGCGGACAGCGCTTGGCAGTAAAAGTTTACATCAGAAGACTGACTATCCGGAAGAGAATCTACTCGGTGGTTTTGGTAGGTTTACTTCACATAAGGCCCGAAGAGCTCAGTGATCAGGCGAAGTGTGTGCGTCTCCGAAAAGCACAGAAAGAATAAGCAACGGATAATCGATTGATATGAATCCACATGTATTCCAGACCGAGAGACAGTCAGCAATTGACCCACGCCACCCATGTATATGGCGGTGAGATCTATCTGCATCGGAGGACGGGTCGGGGGCGTGGGGCTTTATGTGGCCAGACAACTCCGGCCCTTCGGGAGTTATTACTTCACAGAAGCAGTCTCCGGTCAGCAAAACTGCAGCAGGCGCTCGGTCTTGTACGTGTGTCTCGATCCTCTCGATGCTCTCCAACTTGAGCACTCATATCTCTGGCAGCCACAAAAACACCTCAGCACTTAGCCCGCTATAATAACGTGCTCAATGTTGTGCAAACTGTCTCCAAGAGTACCAGAGCTACACTCCGTTGGGGCGTAGGCAGATACAGTGAACAGGTATGGATTATCGGCTCGCTTGTGGGTTGCTTTCACATACGTTGACTAATGAACCTTAAACAGGTGGCGATCAACGAGCAACCACTTATACAGGGCCCCTCCAGCTGGATGGCTTAAAGCAACCCCAACCCCAACAGGACTAGTCGCGGCGGTTACTCCGTCACCGGAGGTGTGCAACCATAGGAAACCGATGGAGAGGTCAGTTCATCAGTCAGTGCAAGAATCTCAAAGGCTCAAATCACGTTTGCTAATTTGCGTCACTTGTAGCGTCAAAAAGGCATCTCACCGGATCTTAAGGGTCGTGTGTACCAGGCTACAGTAAGGGCTGTGTTATTGTATGGGTGCGAGACATGGTCTCTGCGGGTAGATGATGTGAGGCGTCTTCAGGTTTTCGACCACCGATGCCTCAGAAGCGTGGCTGGTTTCGGATGGCGTCAGCGTGTTAGTAACGAGGTGATTAGAAAACGGGTATTTGGTTGTGCTGCAGGCACCTCAATCCGGGAAAACATCCAGCATCATCGACTACGATGGCTCGGTCATGTGCTACGCATGCCAAAACACCGTCTACCGAGACGAGTGTTGTTCTCCGTGCCTCCTTCAGGATGGCGCAAACCGCGAGGTGGACAGCACATGACTTGGCAAAAAGGCGTGAAAGAGATCACGAAGAGTTTGGGTGTTGTTGGTGTTGTGCGACTTCCAGGATGGGGTCCCCGTGACCCCGTCTGTGCTTGGCTGGAGACGTTGCAAGAAATGGCGGCTAATCGATGTCAGTGGCGTTCGTGCTGTCAGTTTCCTTCCAGATTGTCCGATTGAGCGGTTAGAGGTGTAGGCACTTCAGCATGCTTGACATAGGCCAGCACTAGGCAGTGAAGCATCAGTGGCAACACTGATGTTGCTATCTTTGATGATTATGGTGGTCTTGAATCTTATTTTCAGAGAGGCAGCATAGATCAGTGAAAGGCGAGTCTGGCATACATCTAAGAGCAACGTGTTGTCCAGCTTTTTCAGAATGCGAACATCAAAGTTGCATGTACAACCAAACAGCGATTTCGAGATGTCTATTGTGGTGATGACCGAGATAATCGTAAATATGCAGTTGACAGCAATCGGTGGCGAAGGGGTCCGTCAGCCCATGCTAAGATGCCGCTAGCACTGTGTCTCCCAGACAAAGAACAAAACACTCCGTACTGTGGCCTGATGCACACGTCCGTTGGGATGCAGGGATATACCGCTTTGCCGCCATAGCAAACGTGACTGGAGCCTCAGAGATTCGTGCATCGATCTCATCTGTCACAGCATCCATCCAGTGGTATCGGGCAAAAGTGCCGTTCGCAACCTTTTTCCTTTAAGTCCTTGATCGTTCGACAGCTTCCCACAACACCTCAGAGATAGAAATATTCCCGGGGCGTTCGCTCACGGACATTGAGTGCGTCAACGATGTTGCTGTTTTTGGGTGAGACTCCTCAAAAATGTAAACTGCTTTAAATAACCTAAATTAATCTGCTGCATAGTTCGGTATGTGCTTCCTACCTGTCAAATGTGAACTGCCACTGCAAGATGCGACCAAACCCTAACCTCGTGGTTTCAGGTGAACCGATCGATATGATCGGTAAGTTCGTTTGCCTTGGCAGCTGCATTAGTCCCGGAGGATTGATGGAGACGAAGTCACTTCCGGAATTGAGAAGGCCAAGACAACGTTTTCTAATGTACGGCATTTTTGGTGCTCACATAACCTCAGTTTGACTATCGAGGATAGAGTGTACAGTTCTGCGGTCCAACGTGCCGTGCTATGTGGGTCGGAGACGTGGCCACTGCGCGTGGAAGACTGGATACTTTCCGTGTTTGACCGTCAGTGCGTGGGTCTGATTGGAATACCAGGTCGGTAATGTTGAGGTACCCCAGACTGTTTTCGGGAGAGGTAACTCCCACTCGATGGATCTGCTGGTCACACTCCACAGGTTAGACGGGTTATTTCGTGTCAGCGGGCCGTTTACTTCGTAGAGCCCTCTTCTCCCAGTCTTGTGCCGAATGGAGACGACCTACAGGCGGTCAGTCCATGACTTGGCAACGAAGTGTAAGCTATCTCACCGATCAACTGAGTTGCTTTGTTGTATGTCTTCGCGGATGCCTACCGCGAAACGAGACAGACCAGTGGTTAGTGACCCTGAGGGATATTACCGTGAGTGACTGTCAGTGAAGTGATTCGTTCATCATTTTCAACGCATGACCCTCAGTCCCTTATTCTTCTTATCCCCGAATAACGAATTTGTAGCGGCTGGTTCTATTGCACCTCGGTGCATGGTTTGTGCGCTGGAAAACCGAGGTGAACCTGTGAAAGTTAGCTTAATCTTCCAAGAATAACCACAACAAATTGGTAAATTTCAGCTGGATCTACCATGAATTGGGGAAACTATTTTAAAGGGCACCACTGACATGCGTCTAGTTCAGAGCAGCCTGTAAACGTTTTCGCTTTTACGAATAACAAGAAATGCTGTGGATTTTTGTGTGTTTGTTTCCACTGCATGAATAGTTTGCCATGCAGGAGCTGTCGCAAATAGACCACTCATCGTCGTGGCACCTGCATCTCAATGAGTTAAATTGGATTGCCTACGGATCTCCCAATGCATACGCATCTGAAGGGCTGTATGTCGGTCATCCCGACTGGAGACTGGGAGTGCATGATCACTTGCTTCCGTCCAAGCTGCTTTCTTGCGCCCAGGCTATTTGGTGAAAAACTGATCAAACTACCCATATTCCGCAACACAAATCAAAAGCTCTGATTGTTGATGGTCGAGTTATTCACTAAGCTTGGCAGTTTTGTTGCAAACGTTTGATTGCCAATTTAAATATCAGCAACGCCCTGTGAAGTGGAGCGGAGCCTTGTGTTGAGTAGTGATGTGCGCTAATTTATATACATGATTTTGATAGGGATGACCCTATATCATAATTCCTTGCCCTGGTGGGTAAACTTATTGCCTGAGTTTTTTTACTCTTGTTCTAATTTTCGACTTCTGGGTGACCTCTGACTCTAATCCTACTCCCGTCCGTATTCCCCGCACTTCGGAATACCAGTGTTAGGCACGTGCTACTGCTGAAAATAATCCTTGTCTTGTATTTCAGCATCGGTGACAGCTTCCTCACTGTAAAAAACTCAGAACCAAGCTCATCGTAAACTAGATGAGTGAAGAAAACATCACACTTGTGGCTGAGAACAGCAGTTTTACGGTAAGCCATCTCCTGACAAATTTTTGCAATTGATTCGTGAAATTTAAGGGCGTCTGAAAATTCCTGTGATCATGTGTCTTAAATACTATTCCAGCACAAAATTCTTTGATGTCAGCCTTCTTTTCTCATGAAACGCGGTTGAGGTGCAGAACTCATCATTTTGGCACCATAGGTCTCGATGTAATCCACTGGTTCGTCAATTGGGAAACACCCGTATAACTGAGTCCAAGCGGTCTCTTCTGGTAAGGTTCCTTACTGTGGACTGGCAACTACACCATTTTCATGTGGTAACCCTGAACAAATGGTTTGACCTCGAAGAGGAATGTTCTGTCGTTGTGTACATCTCAAACGATTCTTTAATCGTAAACTGAATAGTTTCCTTGGCGAAAGTGTCACCTCACCAACACTTATTTGATCTGAGCACGACAGTTGCGGGACTTTTTCACTGATCTCACGATTGATCTGCTGCTCGTCGCCATCCACTACTGATCTGTTTGCTCACACTTCCTCAGACTGTTCTATCACGGGAAGCTTATTCTCTGAGCATCAGTGTTATGGATCAATGTCCTGATCTATCGAAGATAGCTTTCTCAGCCCACATTCTATTTTTGATAGGAGGTTATCCAACAACGGGATAATTGACTTCACTCTGTGCTTGTGGATGCTTATGATGTTCATAGTCATTGTCTCACGGTAAGTGAAATCGACCGTAGTCCTTGATTTGATCATCTGGGCAATCGCGTGTGCTGTCGTGAACATGTAGAAAATCTGGCTGAGAGAGAATTGGCTTGCTTGTCCTAGCATGGTCCAGAATGAAGTTCCTTCGGTGGGCTTTTACAGAGTCGATTATTGCTAACTCCTGTAAATTCAGTGTAGTCTTACTGACGGAAATATCGGCCCCAGTCTTGCCATAGCTACACCGAGCAAGCGTCATTTTACTTTCAAATCGATACTGCAACCATCTTTGTGATGTTTAACTCAAGTGACTCAAACCCCCACAAACGAGAGCCTGATGCTTATATGGTTCCTTGGGGCGATGCGATTGACTGGTGTAGTAAGGTTAGGCTGTCCACGTTGTTTGCCATTGACAGGTGTCGATTAAGTAGTCCAATTTTGTCGTGCTCAACAGACGAGTGCTAGATTTTGGAAGTGAACACAGCGTGGTTACCGTGACCGAAGTCCTCTGATCTAACCCACTGCAAGGCTCTCTCCTTTCATTAAGACGTAACCAAGTATTAATTTCCACCAGTCATCTCAAACGGACACTGCTTATTGCTTTATTGTTTTATGATTGATAGCTGTTTGAAATAGTTCCGCCATTGCTGAAGTTCTCAAAATCCACGCAATAATCAATCCATTTAGTTGAATGAGGCCCAATGAGCGAACTGATCGGCCTGTACGTACTTTTTATGGTACATGAGCTTTTTTCTACGGAGTGCTTAGAGCACGAATTTACTAACCACAAGGCCCCTCGTTCGAACGCGACCTCTGTATCTTGACTTCCTCTGTCTAGGCTTGGGCAACTTGGCAATACTCCAGCCCTCTTGTTGCCTTCGGGTGGCATGGCAGCTGGGCATCCAAAGGGTGCTACATCCGAACGATATCTACGAAGTGGAGTGGTACCAATGAGGAGATTACTGCACAACCCAGCTTTCAGCCAGTGGTTTACTGAATTAATTGCTCTTAGTTTCAATAAGAAGAAACAAACCAGCTACTCTCGGTCCGATACTGGTTCACCACAATAGATGCAAATCATATTATCGAGCATGTCTGTCTTACGTTTAACTGTCAACCTCACCAACCACACTGGCATGTCGGAGTGATCAATGAAAGAGCATCTGAACAGCCCATATCGCCAAAGCTGTACAAGTGTCAACTGCCACAGTGATTGTTGTCCACTTTTTCTGGTTTTAAAGAGTTTTTGGTCCTTGGTTGTTATGGTGAAAATGTTCGATACTTTCTGGTCTCTGTTGAGGGGACGAGCAATGGGAGCTATCTCCTTCTGGTCTCCAAGGGCATCGCACAAGCTGGATGATACTTCTTGGTGCTACCAAGGGCCGTGAACCTACTAATAACCAATATAGCCATTCAACTGTAACATGTTTTTGGTGTCTAGCTGCCAGGCTACCCGAATGAAGCACGAAGGCTGAGATACTGCCAAGTTGCCCATTTGAGTAGACAGGAGCAGCGAGATGGCGGGGTCAAGTTCGAACAGCAAACCTTCTAGTCAGTAAGTTTGTGCTCTAACCGCCGGGTTATTCCAAGCTCAACAACACACTCTTTAATCTCCCATGAAACCGAAAGTTTCTTTGAGAAGTCAGGTATGTTCAGGTAGTTGAGGCGATTTCAGTTTAGTATAAACATTTGTCTTAGAAAACAACCTCAGGTGAAGGGGACACCTGAACTCCATGAATGAAGTCTCTATTTTCATCTAAACGAAACCTGCAGCGAAGCATCAGTGCCGAACATTGATGTCATGCTGTCCATGATGATGATAATGTATACAATTGTAGTACCGAGTCAGTTGCACTACTCACCCATCCAGCTACAGAGCTGACCGGAAGGTTCTTGGTTCGAACCCGACCTCTGCCCCTGGACTTCCCCTTTCTAGGCTTGGGTAACCTGATAGCATCCCAGCCCTCGTGCTTCCTTCTGGTGGCATGACAGCTAGGCACCGAAAGGGTATTACAGCTGAACGATTTTCCTATTTTCCAATATGTCGTGCGTAAATCATTGGGTTCAATATATCTAGGAGTTTAGTTAGTCATTCCTGTACCTGTGTCCTTCACCGAAGCCGTCACTTAGAGCTGTGGATTGTTAATTTAACCGCCCTCATTTCATCAGGTACTAGCGTACCTTTCTGTCTGGAAATGCAACCGGGCTGCCAAGGCAGATGAGTTCCCACGTAGGTGGGTCTCTGTTCTATTTTGACTAAATCACCGTAGCTTATTTGGGGACGGGATTTCACTCCGCAGAATTGAAGCAATCAGCTATCACAACCCCAAAAATCGTATATTCAAAAAAGTGACTGTTCAAACCATGTTTTCGGCTTCGCCGTTACTGCAACAGCCACCTCTCGCAGGTAAGCTTCAACTCTAAGAAAGTATGCTTTCAGCCGTGAAGGAGGTGCACTGGTCACATCTTTACATCACATCAAATCTGAGCACCACCACGTATACCATCGACTGGCTATTTCTCTTCCTCAAATTGAAAGGAATCTGAGGCTCCGTGTATAGAATAACTCTTCCACTTATGTCTGGCTTAAGGGAGATGCCTATGAAGTTTGCATGTATATTTTCCGCAAGAGTTTACATTTGTTCAAAGCCTTTCCCGCAGCCAATGAGTTCCTCCAGGACTGCAATCTCTTCTTTTTCGCTCAACCTTATCATCCAGAATTAAATTAAAAAAACAAATCATTCGGCTGTAGCACCCTTTCGGTGCCTAACTTCCATGTCTCCAGAAGGAAGCACGAAGGCTGGGATACTGCCAGGCTGCTCAAGGCTAGACAGGGAAAGTCGAGATGCAGTGGGCGGGTTCGAACCGCGGACCTTCCGGTCAGTAAATTCGCACCCTAACCACTTGAGCCATCCATCATCTGGTCATCACCCATCCAAGGGTAGATAAAGCTAATAAAGCTTATTAGGCTTGAACAATGAGGGCTAGCATTGTTTTGCTATTCGATGACCAACCCACACAACTTACTCCAAATTGTATCCGAAGTGGTCTCTTTCGTGGTATGTACTCTCTAACGTCGGTTTTTTATCCCTTTGTCATTTTGAAACTACAAGACTTGAGCATGAAATTGTTGATTAGCCACAATTATGTTAGTTCCGAATAAGTCGGCGCACTTATCATTGAAGCACAAGAAATATCTTTTAACTTGGCAGAAACGAATTTCACTGAGGTTGAGCGGCCTTTTCTTCCAGCCACTAGTAGGCGCAATCCCACCTAATTATTGATCCTTTCGATCTTAAGGCTTCGAAGACCACCAAGCATGTGACCAGCGGTACTTGTGAGTCGTCGCCTAAGTTAGTTGCGGATATGCACTACACGCGCCCGCTTCACTCAAGCTGGCTTCTGTTATCTTCATGCCTTCCTGTTCGAGATCCACGCGGCTGAGAAGCCGTGCAGGACACATCATTTAGCGGAAACAGTGGTTAGCATTTCTTCATTCCCAGGCATGGCTGAAGTTTCTGTTCCACTGTACCCCGACTTTATGTTGGTTAAGGCTCGCAAAGGATGCTACCTTGTCACACCAACATGGTGGTCAGATATTCAATCTAATTGCTATATGGAATATGGTCGCCATCTTATCTATCGTTTTTCCTGGAGATTCCTTAACTCTCTCCTTTCTCCCCATCTCACAATGATGCGTCCCTCATGGTTGTGTAACATGTTAGCTTGGCATACAACTGTCGCTGATACTGAGGGTGCGGAAATGACACACACGCTGCGGTAAAAACTAATGGTGCATGGACTTTTGTTGCTACTACGTGAATACCCTATAATACAATTGATGTAGTTCGTTATTTTGTAAGTGTTCTTTTCTGGGTATAGCGGCTGCTGACTGGCAGGATACCTATGTGCTACTGAAGAAAACGCTCGGTGCAAAGACCCAACTTGGGTTAAGACTTGTCGGTAACCGGAGTACCGTTTTATCAGCAACCTAAGACACCTATAACGACGATCGTATTCTCATCGGGCTTCTTTACAATGGCCGTGGTACTCAGATGTGTCATATCCAGCCCAACATTACTTTGAAAGTTGCTATATCCGCCGCCTTGAAAAAGCTGCAATGATTTTTAGCCTACTCATAAGTAGCTTGAGAAATTAACTGGTTTTAAGGTCCTCAATAGCTCCCACTGTATGGTTGAGACTGTCACCCGCTTTGACAGTAATTTTACTCTCACGTATATCTCGCTTTGCTTTCAGGTTTCTCGCCATGTTCTATCAAAATACAGCCACTACTTCTCTGCAGCCCTCAACAGTGGCATGTCCGAAAGTACAAGTGGTCGCTTTGTGTTTCCTGAGCTTACTGCCGCACAACTGACCCTCTTTGTTCGTTCCGCCTCCTCAGGTTTCAGTGTCTGGCCTGGGACAACAAACAACCGTCAGATATCTCATGATTTATCCAATATTTCACCTTGTCCAGTTCGTTGTGAGCTGATTGAGATTCTCGAGCTCACTACTGCAGCAGACTACCTCCAGACTCCGGCTCTCACCAAACTTTGTCTTTCTCGACTGTTGGATCTGTTAACTCATCTGTTTGCATCCGATTCCATCCGACTTCATGAGCAACATGGCTGTGATATTCTACGGGACTTTCTTGTTTTGTGGGCCAAGTACACCAAAGAGCATACGAACTCGGTTAGTACTGTGCTGTTTACATTTGCCGCCAGAAATCCCCCACGTGTGCTAGATCCGTTCCTACCCGCTGTGTGTTCCCCTTGCACACAAGACGCTGTACTTGGTCTTGCCACCTCTCTTATGTCTTCCGATGACCTGTGTGTGGTGGATGAAACGCAGGTGATTCAGTTCGTATTAGATTGGATCTATTATCTCCGAATGCATGACAAAGCTTCCACTTCTGTGGTGCAACGTTTTTTCGACTGCATTCGGCTAGGTTTGGTCACGCACGAAGGACTCTTACGACTGCTTCAGTTCTGGTGTGAATTCTATCCAAATGTCAGGTGGCATGACCAACTGAGCTACGAGGAATTTTCTGCCTTGGTCAAAGCGAATGTTGTTTCAGGTCCATTCAGTGGAATACTGAGCAAGGCTTCGGTTACACCCTTTTGTTCCGCGCTTTTTCGTCCTCGCGCCCCTGTCCCCTGTGTCATTAGTCTGATTCAGAGTTTGAAGGATAATAGTATCGAACTATGGCTGTTCGACCTCATCACTGGAAACCATTATGCGCGGGAGTTACCCGAAACGGTTGTTAACCAACTGTCAAATAATTCTGTCAAATGTGGTGACTTGTTCAACCGAATTTATCTTTGTCACCCCTGTATACAGAAGGACGTTCCTGACAGTTCAATACTGGTGCTTTGCTACGACCCTGTGAACGCAGGTTGCCTCAGTGGGTTCATTTGGTGTTTGGCTACTGGTCAAGCACAATGGATACCCATGCTTGTGCTACACTCAACGGGGGAACAGAGGAATATGAGCAGAGCATCCGGTTCTTCTATAATGTTCCGTTCTCGACGTGTTGGTGTGGTCACTTTAGAAGATGGCGTCTATGTGTATTACGCATCTTCCACCCAATTCCGTTCTCGCGTGTTGGTGTGGTCACTTTAGAAGATGGCGTCTATGTGTATTACGCATCTTCCACCCAATCGGACGTCTTTTTGCACGTTGCACGATTAGATTCGTCCAGCTGGACCTGGCAGGAATTCCCTCCGGTTTCTTTGGTTTCAGACGTTGGGAATGCGGTGGTTTTATTCACCCCAGTCGAACAGCTAAGTACAATCTCTTCAGACGGCTGGATGTATTGCAGTGTAGAAGTAACTAGTCGATCTGGGAGCCGCATACAACCCGTCTGGCGACACAATTTACACCAAACGTCCTTGATTTGTTCACGATTCTTTCGCTTTCGTCCAATCTATGGGTCCAAACCTTCGGATCGCCATCTCGAACTTGATTTGCTTCCAGGCGCACCTTTTTTGATCCGCATTTACCATGTTCTCCCGCTAAGTGCGTCCTGTAAGGAAGGAAACGACACAGAAAGTAAGTCATTTGTGTTCATCCATAGCATGGTCCAGCTTATTGAACTCTGCTTGAAGTCGTGTTTCCCATTGCTGAAGATGGACGACATAAATTACTATACCATGTCAGCTGAAAACGGCCGTTTCTCGAAACATGCTTTCTGAGAAAGTTAGCCGGACAAGCTTTTTTAATTGTATTTCGGGTGTTGTCCACCTCATATTCGGAAGGGTAGTGTGCTCGATCGACCCGTGTATGTAATATTTACAACACTATAACCGTTTCATATAGTAAACGCTATCGGGATACGCTCCAACTGTCTCTAACCCCTAGGCACTATCTTATTACAGGATCGTTCCAAAACGAAAACAGAATTCAACGGAAGTGCGATAGCTTTGTTTTCCAGCCGCCATTATAAAAATAAATAAATGTTCAGCTGTAGCGCCCTTTCGGTGCCTCGCTGCCATGCCACTTGAAGTTTGCACGAGGGCTGAAATACTGCCAGGTTGCCCAAGCCTAGACAGGGGAAGTCGAGAGGCGGAGGTCGGGTTCAAACAAGGGACCTTCCGGCAGTAAATTGGCGCTCTAACCACTTGAGCCATCTCGCCGCCATTAGGTTTTGCATGGATCCTACAAACACACTACTACTGAACAAGTACAGTGCCAGCTTCCAGAAAAATTACTGAGCTATGCACACTGCTTTCCCAAATTCTGACAAACCACCGTTTGACCTCTCTCTCTCTCTAGTTACGGGAAGGAGCATTTTCTCACATGAGCGGTCTTTCTCTGAATACGCGAGTCTTCTCTCAATGCACACCCATGTGCCATACCTGATAATGACCAATAACGCATGCGTTTGCAATCCTGCGCTTGTCGTGTTGATGAGGAGGTCGAATAATGAGGATGAGGGACGAATAATAAAATGTCTTACTGTCGTTTCATAGAATAAGCAACCTCAAGCTGATTGTCGCTTATCCCTATGCTTAATTTTTTTGGATGAGTTTTGCCTTAGGTAGCAGGTGAAAAGTGATGAAACTATCAACAATCACTGAAACGATAATTGTTCCGTTGACGCTTGATTGTCGTGTTATGGAGGTACGAATTCACATCGCAAGATTGAATCACGAAGTTACTCCCTTCGAAATCTTTCCTAAATGAATTATTCTCATTGAAATACTCTTCTTTTTTCGCAAGTTAGAAAATCGGGTATCGTAAAAATGGTTTGCTTTCTTCGATTTATTTATTAAATGTTTTCCTGGTTGTCGGTCTTCGCTGAGCTTGGAAGTTGGGTTGCCAACATTTTATCACCAATCGAGGTTACATCTTCAGTGCGGAGTTATCGTTGTCATTATCGAAGACATTAACGTCAATGATGACACTGATGTTTCACAACCAATGATGTTACAACCACAAGGTTCTTCTGGTTATATATATATATATATATATATATATATATAATTATATTAAGAGACTTAGAGTGAAAAGAGGAGAAAAAAGTGGGTGAGCGAGGGGACCTAGCACTGGCCCTTCAGGCATTCTGAGGTGCCTAACCTCCAACCACTCAATCAGACTATCTGGAAAGAAACTGACAGCACGAATGCCACTGACATCGATTAGCCGCCATTTCTTGCCATGTCTCCAGCCAAGCACAGGCGGGGTCACAGGGACCCCATCCTGGAAGGCGTACAACACCAATAACACCCAAACTCTTCGTGGTCTCTTTCACGTCTTTCTGTCAAGTCATTTGCTGTCCACCTCGCCGTTTGCGTCATCCGGAAGGAGACACGGAAGACAACCTCGCCTCGGTAGATGGTGTTTCGGCTGGGTAGAGTTGAATAAGTCCACAATCAAGGTACACAAACACTGCTTGTTGGTTTTATTCACTCTGTTACCTTGAGTAAGTACAATTCGCTTGACACATTGCAGTCCCAAAAGGCAGTTTATTTGAGTTGAATTCAGGTTCCTACAAGGCTAAGTGATAACCACTTTCGTTGAATCGCTTCTCAAGTGGTGACCGAGTGCTAATTTTTTTTTAATATTTTGTTTCTAGTGCACGGCTGCAATTCAGAATAATATACTCATCACATTTATTAAACACAGTAGAGCTGATTCGGACTGCTGCACCACGTGTTAGAATCCTATTGTAAAATGTCTGTATCAGCTGTAAGGTGCTACCATATGATTTTTTGCTGTTGGTGTGGTTCCTTTTGAGCAGTTCCTCATTGAACACCAGACTAGCGATATTCTGATTCAACTGGCTAAGGTGGCGTCACAGATAAGGCTCCTCAGGGTTGTACGGTAATTGAAATCCACCGCAGTGTACTGTCGTTTGTAGTACGTCGTAGTACGTATTACTATCATTCTGATTAGAAAAAGCCACTCGTGCGCAGGAAACGTAAGGGTTTTGTTTACTATCATCATCGGTATGTATAGTGCAGCGGCTCTCTTTGCGTGCAACGCGATGACCACGTTTGGACGTCTCAATGCCGCCGTATCTTGGAGTTTGTTTTCCTTGCTTGTTATTTTCCCAAACTCGAACCCGTACTGTGCCGTTTTTTTCACCAACTAATTCTAAAGGTAGCTTGCCTTGATGAGGTGATATGTGCAACAAAATCTGAGCGGTGTGGATAAGTTATCAATCTGATGCATTTTGGTGTTTGTATTTTAGTATCTTGTAGCTGTGTTGTCCGCAAAAATAAGTACTGAAAGCATTCGCCGGTCAGTTTCTCTTATTCTCTTTCCAGCTCGTGCATATTTGTTCGCCTTTGGGACTTGTTCACGGGATGAGCGTGCCACACAGTTTTGTCTGGATTTGACAGCGCGACAATGGATAGAGTGGTCCACTTGCGAGCACGAATTGGGAAGCAGTGAATCCTTTCCACAACCCAGTCACACGGTCAGAGCGCAATTACAAACCAATTTATGTCCGAAACTTTTGGGTTTTCGTGGTCTGGTTTGCGCCACCACTGTACCTGATCTTTGCGATGTTGGTGAACGAAACTCTTCTCCTGGATCACCCTCAAACACCGACCTAGTCTCCCGTTCGACTCTATCTGACGTATCTCCTCATTGCAATCCTTCAATGGTTTTGATTGGACGACCAGACTATCGTTTCGGTGAGGTTGGACAGAGCTGCTCAGGAATTTGGTTTCACCGTCCACAGCTATCCGTCGGCCCACCTGAACAACCATTGGTTAGCTTGGACTCTTCCAAACCTGCTTTTCCACTTCCCACCTCTGTCAGCCACGCGTTATCCCACTCCACTTCACCTGCAGCTGTTGTGCACACCAACTGGAATAACCTGCTTCATTCATCCGACATGTTCCGTTTTCTTAATTCCCATCCGAGTGAGCTCAAACAATCAACCAAACGATTACGGAGCTCACCGGACATAGACCAAAGCATCAGGTTGCCATGCTTCAACCACCCTTGGAATTGGAGTGCTTGCGACAGTGACTAGTTGTTTCCACGACGTAGATTCCTCTTTTCCCTTCCCCCTCCCCCCAAAGGATGTGGTTTGATGTTTAGACACTATTTTATGTCTTCGCCACTCCATTTTTCATGGCTGTGTACGACAAAGTTGTTTTATACATTCATCCCAATTTATTTGTTTTAATGTACCAGTATGAGCCTATATCATGGCCTCTTGTAACTGAAAATGCCGATTGTGAACATATATTCAAAACAGAGTGAAGCTCGAGTATTTTTGCACAAATGCATTTACTGCATTCTTGACGTATAGCTCTACTCAAACCTCAGTATTTTCTGTCAGTTTATTTTTTCTAGTAAATGTACATGAGAAATTCAGACGGCTGAGAACTAGAATGACCTATCACATCCGTATACTACAGAGCCGTTACGGCAAAAGTCGTGAGTTAAGTTGGTCGTTCCGGTATTAGTTGTTGAGTTGACCGGAACGGTTGTAGTTCTCACTCCTCAACGAAGGATCACATAATGTGTTCTCGTACGCCATCTTCAATAGGATATGGGGGCCGCTCTTTCCAACTGATCTTTTCCGAGCTGCTTATTCGTATTTTAGTTCTTCGAAGCCTGCTGGAACAACTGGACACAAAGAACCAGTATTTGTTTGAAACACGAACAAATAAACCCGTCGACCGCTGCTCTCGGGACGTATCGGCTCTGTAAGATCCGGACGGTTAAGGATCTCACAGGACGATTGCGACTATTAGATTATACGCAGTTCGTAGCCAGTAGTCAATAGGAGCAGACAGACGTGGGGCAGTAGATGATATATTGAAGACTGACAGGAACTGGTTCTACAGAAAAACGGATTAGTAAGCATCATGAATTAAGAAAACGTACAGTCAACAATGACGCAATCTGCAGGAGCGGGAAGTAGTCACTGTCACAGCACGGATTTCTATAGGGGCAACAAGAAGTAAGTACCAAACGATGTGCAAACATACATATCGGGGCAGCCTGACAGTGTGAGTTGGCCGTAACGGCGCAGGAGTCAGTACGTTCGGGATGTGAAGTACTGTCTTTCGGTCGGCGTCGACGCAGCCGCTCGTGTCGCGTGACAGGTCAGATTGCGCGGTTTCGTCCGTTTAAAACAAAGCTCAGCAAGGGCTATCTGCCAGGTGCGATACATAAGTAATACAAAATAAACAGCCATGCTGGACGTCCGGTTGGTGTAGTCGGTGACGCGTTCGCCTGCTGTCCGCAGGCTCTGGGTTCGATACCCGGTCGGCGCGCTTTTCGGTCGGAGTGGACGCTCGTGAATAGGTGCAATCCAGACGAACTTGCAAGCAATGACGGACGGGCAAATTAAGTATTGACATCAGTTACTGAGGCATAAGCAGACCCTAAGCCGGGACGAAACAGGGGGAAAACGAGCAAAGAAACGAAACGGTGTCATAATAAACAGATGCGAGTCACGTTACTCATGAGCAGTCAGAAAACAAGGAAAGTTACCGCTGGTCACCGTTGATTCGCAGGCGGAATAACAGGCTCAATGAAATGAGGAGTCTAGTATATTGTATCCTTATAGAAGTTATCAAATGCAAAACATGTTAAATTTGTTTGGAGAGGGATGTTGTCAGGTGTATGCCTAGTTGGCGATCATTCTTATCAACTGCAGTATATCTGAGATGTCTGAATCGAAACTCACTGTTGGTGCACCCAGCAATTCAAGTGCGTTCAATGCGCTGCTACTGATGGGTTTTGTTCACGAGTGGTTGTGTGTTCCTCTTGAAAGGTAAACCAAATTCCTAACTGCTTTTAACTGTTCTGTGATCTGAACCCTCTGTCAGGCGATAAGCTGTAGGCATGTATCCCGCGAACGTAGTGCTTAGAGGGTTCGTTGAGTCAGTTTTTACTAGATGGCTCTACACTGCTCAAGGTGATCTCTTGTGCTTAGAAGCTGTCCACCAAAAACAGGTGACCAACCGTCCAGTCCGTAAATCTTTGGGATTGAAGCCACGCTGAACGTTTGCGTTCACCGTAATTTAGGGTGAAACACGGTCAGAAGACAGTGAATAGGACTGATGTAATAAAGGTGTAATCTGTTCTAAAAAAATAAGCTACATGAAGGATCGACCACAGCCCACTAGCTCAGACTGTCATACTACAGACCACATGGCCACTGACCGGTCTGCACAGCTGATAAACTATTTTACAATGGTCCTTGATGTAACCAGTTGTTGAATCATCTGGACAGTCTTACTACGGTTGATCGGTCACATGTTTCATACATATGGTTATTGACCCTCAGAAGAATCTGATAATTACGGGGATTTTAATCAAATTTTTAGAATGAGGATGTAGTTGAATCCAAAGCAGCTTACCGAATGTGTGACTTCTTTTTGTACTTCATTATGTGAGCATAGAGTGATCAGTCTGACGACACTTAACATTTTCAGACTGCCACTCTCTCAATAGGTCAGCAGTTGGTTGGACCAAGTTTGGGGCTTAAATCCCCATTGGCAGGTACATGATCCGGTTACTGCTGATCACCTGATGAATTCAGATAAGGACGGAAGACTTTGTGTTAATGAGCCCTTGGGATAAATATTGGTGTACTTTAAAATATGTGACTCACTATTTTCGAGAAACACACTCGTTTGCAAATCAATTTGGTTTTCACGAGGGACTCAACTGGACCTACAACTGAATGTGCTGCACACAGGCCGCCTCATGATTCAGTTGGCACGATACTCGAGATATCGCAGTATATTTTCTTAAAGGAAACTACTCACAAGGTTGCTGCAAACCCTTCGACAGGTCCACGACCGGTTTCACCCTTCTTAGGGCTCATCAGGTGGGCGCTGTCCCCGAGTTTCTTTCATGGAAATATACTGCGATATCTCGAATATCGTGCTAACTGAATCATGAGGCTGCCTGTGTGCAGCACATTCAGTTGTAGAATATCATAAACGAGAGATTCGGCTGATTCTCTCTTGAAAAACAAGTTGATTTGCAAATGAACAGTCGAAAACAGTTCAATTTGGGTTCAAGCAGAACATAAGGTTGACGGAAACTCGGGGACTGCGCCTACCTGATTAGCCCCAAGAAGGGTGAAAGCGGTCGTGGGTTGTCGAAGAGTTTTCAGCAACCTTGTGAGTAGTTTCCTTTGTGACTCATCAATTATCATCTTCAAAATGTGCGTCAGTAACCATTTAGATGAAGCAGTCATCATTGTTTAGATTGTCTAAATAAGCCAGTGATGTGCTACACCAGGATCACATCCAAGTCAACTTCACCGAAAATTTAAATCGTCTGGAGCGTAATAGTCTGAATGGGATTTTCTATGCAGATTCTTGTGGGATGGCATTTGGGGGTCCGGATAGTAGAAATTCTCACAGCTCTACCGTGATGCGACGATTCATGGGTACTCAAACAGAACACACTCCGACTGCTAGAGACTCGTGCTCGTACTTTCCTGTTGAAAGAATGAACCTCCGCTCCATGGTATTGTTTTCATAGATCAAATGTGGCACCGTTGCTCACCGGATCATCTATTGCGGGACTTCCGGAAAAAGTCATGAAGAGTGTTAGATTTTCCACATTCCATCACCTTCTAGTGAATAATGGGCCTCCAAAGGATAACTCGGACGAATGGACGGAATTGCGAATTTCTACCTAGTCATGGGGACTATTCTGTGCCAGTACTAGACCGAACGCCCATGTTTAACGATCGTCAGTGAGAAGGTAGCCCTGTCGTTGGTCGTCCTGTCGTTTTCTCCAAGAACCAATAGGACTGCATCAGTGATATAGACACCTGGCCCGGTGCTTTAGATCGTTCAGTTCATTCACGCAAATGAATTGTCAGAAGAGTGAACAGCTCGGGTGGACTGAAGCGTAGGATTATTTCACAATGGAAGAAAAAGTTTGGTGGGGTTCAAGTGCACGTAAGTTCGAAAATCGGACGATAAATTATACTTAGATGAATCAGACACTGATTGTCCTACTGTTTTTATGACATTTGAGTAATTCGATGGTTGCAAAAGTTTGAAACGCATATAAAACACGTTTTCCCTCAGGGCAGTTTGATAAAAAGTTTCTATGCAATGGAACTTCATGGAGAGAACTAGTTGCTTGTTGTCAGTCAGTGTATCGTTCCGACAGAAAAATTGCTTTTATTAATGAATACATGTGATAATCGTTGTGTTTAGATTACTTTTACAAGTTTATGCAAATGTCGGATTGGTTTACCTAGTGTTTCCCGGGGTGGAAAAACTCGCACTCACAAACTGGCTGGTGGCACTTCGTGGATTTTTCTGACTTAGTCACTCGTTTCGAATTTCATAAAAGAAGAGACCAAAGAACCTCATTTTATCAAACCATGTACCGACTGAGTATTCAGTAAAGGCACTAAAGTCGACTGGTGGCTGTCGTCTCTTAGTATTAGGTATAATGGTTACAGACACCAGCAGATATGTTCCAGTAGGGCGCTCAATTGATTTCATGCACTAGTTGGAAGGGCACAGATCATATCCAGATTAGCCTCGTTCCCTAGCTTTATTCTCTAGGTGATTTAAAAAAACCCAACATGCACTGGTATATCAGCGCAAACGGAAGCAGTTAGTAAATAACTAATTCTGCTAAGAACACCAATTAGTCCAAGATGGTGAATGCATAACTCTAACCCGATTTGATGAGAGTGAATTGACAGCTAGGATCACTGCATCGCCGACGGCTCACAGCTGATGGTATTCAGACCAACCTACGGTTTCGAAAGCTGTTAGCTTACGTTACTGTTACCTGACCAATAGCCAAATGAGATTCAACTGTTTCCCATCACGACCATGGAAACTGTAGTGCAATTGCCTTAGAACTGAACAATAAGATGAGTCGTGAATTAAGACTGACCTTAACCGAACATGACCAGAACGGCTTTGTTACTAGGTGACTAGCCCGCCAGCCAGGAGAAGCAACAATAAACTAACACGGGACGACCACTGAGCTACAGACCGTTAATAAGAGAAATAAATTGTAGCAGTTTCATGCTGTTATATCTGCTGATTCGTCAATCTGTGGTATCTGCTGCTGACCCGCTCCAGTGCCTAGTGTCGGAGAGAAAAGACTCACAGAAGGGAACACAACAGCTGTATTCCGAACAAGCGAGTGAGTGCGTGCGAGTGCGAGAGCAAAAGTTACAATGGCCCCACGCTATTTAAAGGGGACTTTCTGACATTGATTCAGGCTGTCTGATAGGCGTTAGTGAACACCCACCAACATCGATCGTGCCTCTGTGAAAAAGCCTGAACGCTGATCACATTCGGTCGTGCTTCTGTGGCGCGCAAGAACACTCATCAGGTTTTGATGAATTGATTGAATGATTGACTGGCCTGGATGCTTGCCGGCTTTCCTGTTGAGATTTTGGTGGAGCAGTAGGTTCCGGGCGTTCTAAAGTTGCTTTCAGGAATCTGACCTTCCTGATACATGCGCTCAACGTCCACTACACGATGAGACAAGTAAAGAGCCTGTCATGTTATAATTCTTATTTCTTCTCATAACAGGTCCGCATGGGAGGCCTTATGCGACAGTTTCTTCCATTTGGTTGGCCGCTCGTTCTTCAGGTCTTTCCATCCAGCTATTTGCTTGATGTGAGAAGACCCGTTCCACGTAGGTCGTTTGACAAGGGATTTTTACAACCTTACCTGGGTTTTAACTGGTGAAACGCGATGGGTGCATATTCGCTAGAAAACGCGCCTGGACCTCATACGTGCTCAAATGGGAGCCATCCGGCAACTGTTGCGGAAACGGTGATGGGCCACAAACTAGTCCCGGTCACTTTCGCAGCATGTGGGATTTTACGGATTAGCTCCAAATACGGTGAACCGTATCTTGCAGTGCCAACATACGCATCCTTGCTGGCATGTAATCAATAACGTACGTCTAAGTAGATAGTGGATGGCAAGAACAAAACTGTCAAGATTAGTAAGGATGGACCAACAATCAATATTCCAGTGTTTGTTGTCTCCAAACCTGAGTGGAAGGTATTTCCTCTAAGTAAAGAACCACCTGTTAGCTGCTGGCGGTGCAGTGGGGACAGCGGAACAATAGGCTTATGAGGCAAGGAGATAACTACGTGAAATTCCTTGTCTTTTAGCGATGGCCATATGTTAGTCAGGTTAACTCACCCAGGCTTTTGACCTGCCGACACTCATTTCTTAGTATTTTTGGGCGTGGTTATTATGCGACAAACGCCAATCGACACGGGATCTCGAAACGCTTGGAAGGAAATACGATATCTGCATGGCTATACAGCTGTTCCATCTAAAAGCAAGCAACCTCAGAGGAAAATGCAAGTGCCGTTTGTTTCAAAGGGATGTTCACGCTTAACAACAGAATGAGTCAAAAATCCTGTTTGTGCGAATTAATCAGTAGCCACGGTACATCATCAACTGTAGGAATAAACGTAACCCGGTTGAATGTCAATGAGTCAAATTCAAAAATCGCGTCATAGAAGCTTGAATTTGTTATGTGAGTGTAGTTGTCCCAATCAGGACAGAAACGCCATGAACATGGTGGTCAGAACAGTTTTTCTGAAAACTTTGCTTAAATAGTGTAACATTATATAGCTGCTGAGCTCTTCTCACTATAGCCATCCCAAACTTAAGGGGTTGATACATTTGAACTACACGGTTATAGATTGAGTCAATGTCGCGTGGACAAAAAGCTACCGCTGAAGGATACAAGCAGGCGAACTTGCCTAGCTTTCAGTATGACAGTTAACTTACCAAACAGGTTGAGTTTAATATTGTCCTTCTGTGTAACGGGTAAGTGATTTCAACACCTGGCTTCAGTAGTCTGCGCACTTGGAGAGCGCTGGGACACCGCCTGATCGGATGGATTGAATGCAAACTTCGTTTCGGTTGACGGAAAATGAGATGTGCGGCCTCATAGCTTCGATTCACTAGGAGAACAAAGCATGCTCTACCTGTCTCTCAAAGTCAATACATCCAAAGGAATAGGTGCTGTAAGGGAGCCTCAATTTTCTGAATGCGTAGGCATGGTACGGTCCTTCTGTTAGTGAGGAGTACACTCCTTGCTCAAATTTTGTGATGGGCTCAAAACAGAGTCGGGTGTTTATATAATTCAACTGACAATCTCGGTTTATTGCTGAGAAGAATACAGTAGTGTGACCGAGTGAGGGCGCCGGAACATTATCTGGTGGGAAAATTGTACGGCTATCACTGCTTGGTAATGATAGCAATCAGACATTAGGCTAATTCAATTAGGAGTGAAGTTCCGAGAGGCAGTACCTCGGGAAAACGATCTTGAAGGCCAATTCCTGTTGCGTAGTTGAAAAATAATTCCTGAGTAATTGTTTTGGTTGTCCCTATTCCGAATTCGAAACGCCCAATTTTAAAGTGAGCAGAATTAATTGAGAAAAGCGGAGTGACTTTATGAAGATTTCACAAAACTCTTGTCTACCCAACATATTCTGAAGTTACGGGGGCCTTAATTGACCATACTGACAAGTTGGAATTTGGACGGGAGAAAGTAGATCATATGCCCTCGTGCAGACAGGATAGTTAATGGTCTGTGTACTGACTGACCATAGTTCGACAGGAGCATGAATATGAAAGCTCATGATTAACTGTTATTTTGAGATCATTGCGTACCGTGAAGAGTCATTTGGTAAAGCGATTGCTGTTTGTTCATTACCTGAAACCAATGGCTATCCACCAAGGAAGTGCAGAAAGAATGGGTTTTGTGTTTCCATAGGCAATGCACTCAAGAAGAAAGAGCCTTCGACCAATATGGGGGTAGTTTGTCTTGAAAAAGGCAATGTTTTATTTTAAGCATGGTACCTGAAGGTATCTTCCGGGGATGTGTTAGCTAAGATGAGGTTCACGGGATTCGGTACGATTCCGCGGTGTTGAGAAAACACTTTGAGCTTTTGTGTATTCATTTTTGTCGTAAAACTAGTCAAACCTTAGACCATGTCGCGACTTGCTGGTTTTTATGCAGATCTGCTTTTTCTTATTCCGTGAGAGAATTTCGCTTGACTAAACTCTGCCAAAAAGGATTTTAAAAAGCGAGTGTAGTGGATCTGAAAGTTGAATAAGAGGTGCAGCTTGAAATCTTGTCTACTTTGCTCAAATGTCAGTGGTATTCCAACCAGCTTGTTTACACCAACATTCACATGTAAATATCTTCATTTATTGAACCAATGAACTCAAATTCATCGGGATGAATGCGTGTGTGTCTGGTCTGTGCCTGCACTTTCCTATCACATCATTTCCAGGTACCTGAGATGAATTTGTCGCCGGATCAGTGTGCCATGGATACTTTCAACTGTGTGACGCAGGACGTCCTACAAGCAAATAATAGGTGGTTATGACATGGAGGCGATCAATCGACCCAGCAGAGTAACCTTGGTTGTCTGATGACTCCTAGCGTTCCAATCGGTCCTTTCTCGCCCATATATTACTTTTCAATCACTGTGCTTGAAAGTAATTAATGACCGTTGTGGCTTCAGTCCTTTTCTCTCTTGCACTTCGTGCACATAGTTTGATCCCGTTTCAGCGCCAGATCCGGACAGTCCAGTACTACCACTACGTTTTATCTAAAATGCAACTGTTAACTTTAACTCTGCTGACTATCTTGAATGGTTGTCCCTCAGTGTACCTGAATGTATAATCGAACAACGTGCGTACGAACGTATCTTCAGAGCTATCAGTTATTCGACAATTCACACACATCACAGTAATAAAACTGTCTAAAGAGGAAGAAATGAGGCTAAACTGGGACGATTCACATCACAATAGTTTCGCCATAACAATCAGAGGTTATTTACCTCGACGGAGTCCTAAACGTACAATTCTGCTGAGCCGACCTTTCTACCGGGGAGGAAATGCCAGCTCAAAACATGTGCCGAGTAGCTGCGGTCAGCTAC